ATTCGTTGTATTAAACTAATTTTTGTATAATGTATTTTGCCAATAACAATTTAAATAATTTTACTTATTTGATAATTTTACAACTTAAATGTCACCATTAATTATTTTTATCCATTGACATTAACCATATTACAGATTACTAATATTCTGAGTTCAAAACAATTTATCATGTAACCGCACTGATTTCATTGTATTTGTTTTGATACTGATATTATTATTGCTACGTAGTATGTATATATATAATATTATTATATTGGTTTTAATGTTTATATTATTGTATAAGTGTGGACATTGACCATTGAACATTGAATATCATTAACTATACAATTTTTTTAGAGTATAAAAAATTTAGTTTATTTAATTTACATAAATATATTATTATTATATAGATTTTAATGTTTATTTTATTGTAACACCTTGAACATTGAACACATCGTAAACTATACAATTATTTCAAATAAAGTAATAAAAAAAATGGTTAAATTATTCTAATTTATTTACTTTAAATTTAATTAATTGAACTGTATGGAATATATAATAAATGGCTACTCGAATATATTTATCTACATGATAATTTAAAAGGATAGTGAAACATTATTTGATTTAACTAGTATATTATTATTATTTAAAATGTCTGGTTGTTTATTTTCATCAAATATCAGAACTATTTTTAAGTATGTACTTCGATAGTCAGTAAGTGACCATATCAAACGAAGTATAAAATCGTTAATTTGAATATATATACATATATATTCTAAAGTAATAATTAATTATTTTACCAATCATGTCTAAATTATTGAAACTATTGTTTTCTTTATAAAACCTACTGAGAATGATTATATATTGTTTGCTATATATGTATACGTATTATATACACATCCAGAGGATGTTTGTCATTGTTTAATTAATCTTGCGTATATGTTTAAGGCAATGTACTAATGAAATGCCCGAAAAGTCAAAAATTATGTTTTTGGATAAATATGGAATAATTTATCAAAAATTTCCTATAACTATTAAACTTTTTTTTTTCATATTTTTCTGTTAAGGATTAAATATTTTAAATTATTTTAATTAATATTAAAATAATTTTCAATTGTTATCTATAACAACTATTTTAATTTTAAATTATGATTTTATCAATCAAAATAGTCCAAATCAAATACAATTATTATGAATAATTGGTGTATGATAAAACAAATTAAAATTTAGTAAACAGTAAAATGTAATGCACTCATTTATCTTTGTTTAAATTTTAACAAATATATGCATAGTATAAATTGGAATAAAAATACAGAACATGAGATAATGAGTAATAGAGTAACTATATTTTCTTAATGTTAAATAAACTATTTATCTGTTTATTTCATAAAGGAAAATTATAGCTTTGACATAATAATTTAAATTAATGTAGACATATTTAATATTTCACTGATTAATAAATCGAATGGCTTGATATTATGTACTATTCAATAAATACAATTTTTGATTACTTTATTCCGAGCTTTATTCTTATAACGTAATCATTTTGTATCAATGATAATAAATTATACCTGTTACTTTATCTAAAATTCTGAAGTATTATAAGCAATTTAATATGTTTAAATTAATTATTTTAATACTGTTTAAATTAAACATTTTTTTTAATTAAATATTTCTTAAATAAACATTATGAAATTTAATTTAATACATTTATTTTAAAATTTGATAATAAGTGTTCGGTCTAAAATTGTACAACTATGAACAACTATTATTGTACAATAATGAATAATTATTTGGGCTATATATTGTGTGTGATTATAAAAGACGAATTAATATGTTTTGTAATCCAATTGCATTTTAAAACCAGATTGAATTTACGAGGTCAATCAGAGTAAACTAGTTTAAATAAAAATGTATTGTAGAGTAATTTCCGAGTTGAAGGGGAATTAAAAACCTAGTTGTCTTCTTGAATCATTTGAATGCAACACGTGAGTTCGTTTTTAAGTATATCTACTACTTATTTTATGTTCTTCTTGACGAAGGTCGTATAGAAGGTGAAATTAAAATAAATAATACATATTAGGAGTTGTATGTAACTGTATTATATGCTAAACTAATAACTATATATGTAAAAACCTTAAATTATTAATATTGCTTATTAATTATTTACAAATAAAAAGTAGTTATTATAATTATATTAGGTTTAAATATTATGAATCATTTACATACTAATTCGATATAAATTTTATTATCCTTTGTGTACAATACCGATTTTTTTTAAAAATATTTGAACATATGTTTTCTTATAAATAAAAATACAACTATGTGGAGAAAATATTTGCTTGTTATATGCTCTCGTGTATATATGTGTTATATATACATAAATTGATAAAATCTATTGAATAAATATATGATTTCCACATATTCTTATAATAATTTCTGTATCACTAATTTATTAATTTATTATAGGGTTAGGTGATAATAAGATTTTACTTTATTTTTAATATAAACGTAAAATGATATAATAATATACTTATGTGAAAAATTATGAAAATAATTTTATTCTTATATCTTTGTAAAAGGACACATTTATATAACTATTAACAAATGTATTCATATAAATTTTTTTGATTTTAATTATAATAATTATTTAAAAGTTATATAATATCTTATTTGTGTGAGATTATAAGACACGCATTAGTTTGACCAAAACTCATACAAAATTATACAATATTAAATGATGAGTGAAAAATTATATGTTCCTATTTGAAGAGTTCAGTTTGATGACATAATATTTCCTATTGTGTATATAAAATCCAAAAGTAATTAAATCTGGAACAATGTTGTGTTAAATGTGTGGGAATATGATATCTAATAAGATTTGATTATTTTATGAAATCTATGAATCTGGCTTTTGCTATTTATATTATTTTAAATTATTAGTGTTTAATTGTATACATATTATACACATTTTATACATTTATTTTATGTTTAAGTATGATGAATATATTTTATGGTAGTATTGTCAAATATTTTTAAGTTTAATTCTGTTGATAAACAATTTATATAAGTCAAAAAAAATAAAAAAATAGATTAAACTTATTTTGTCTTAAAACGTTATGAGGACAATATTACATAAATATTAATTAAGCTTTTATATTTGAAATTTAAAACATTGTTTCGTTTGCTTCAAGAATACTAATGTAATGTTTTTACTTTGTGAAATGCACGTGGCGTCATTAAGTTTATTTTTCTTATTTTCACTATTCATTTTCTAATCAATAAAAAGTTCACGTATGAGTTTAAAGAATAACAGTAATAGTTTTAACTCCTTTAGTTATTTTCTAATTCAATACCTAACCTATAATTTTTTATTTTTATTATTTTAAATAAATATGTACAATAATAAAGGTTTTATTCATTCTAACATAGGCCTAATCAACCTGGCTTTGAGTTTTTTCCTGTTACACTTTGCTAAAATGAGAAGTCCAAAAATACCTCAATTTTGCATATTAATATTACTACATAATATTTATAATCGATTATTTTATATTACAAACTAAACCAAATTTACGAGTATTAAAATTCTTAATAACTTCGTGTATATTGACTAATTATATTTATTCTAATAAAAAATAAAAAATAATTTTTAATTTTTTTAATAATAAAAATTGTTGTTTGCTTGCATAAATGTTATGAATGATAATATTTGAGGGACCAAAATTATGTTTAGGATATAAATATTGATTAGAAAATTTATTTTATTCCTGTAAAAAAATATTACTGTAAATCAAAAACTAAATACTAAAAACTGGACGAAAAATGAAATCAATTCTTAATAATAATAATTTTTAGTGATAAATAATAATTATTAACTCATAGAAGTTCACCGTAACTGTTTGACTCGTATAATTTGATTTAAATTGACTGGGTTGATTTTTTAATATTATATAGTATATTATAATGACCTCAAATAGAAGTTAATTTATTTTTGTACCAGTATTTTAGAAAGATTCGACCTTATTGAGAATTATATTTTGAGTGTAATTTAAAAGTAATACTTATAATTTGTACGAGGTAATAATAAAATGGCAAATGTCGCCACTAGAATAAAATTATGCTTTATTGCTCACGTCTATTTAAACATCACGTTTGCTATAGAATATGCTCACTTTTTTTTTGTTAGTGATGTATTATTATTAAGTAATATTCTTATGTGTAGTCTAATAGAATAATGGTATAATGATGATATAACATACCTGTCTCTACTCAATTCATTGTTGCCGGAGGCAACTTCCTTTCGGGCCATCTCTCTTATTGCAGAAAAACTAGTTTTGATCTAACTATAGCTGAAAGCATCGTCGATCATATGTTCAATACCACTATCAAGCATCTACCGCATGAATATGTTAAAATGATATGTATGATATGCTAATTTATACCCATACTGTAGAACATTGTGTTGATAATAAATAAGTAATTTTCAAAACATTAATCATTAAACAATAATGTACCTATAATATTTTCATAGGCATCCATTAGTCGTTTCATATTTCAACATCGTTCATTAATTTAAAACATAATTGTACTATTATAGTTACTGCGTTTTCAGTTTAATATATTTTTAGTATAAATGAACTTACCTTATACTTCTAATATAATATCAATTATATGTGTAAAATTATAGTTATATGAACTAATTTGTCTAAAATAAATATATTCTATCGATATATTTACTAATTATTTAGAAAGTTTCTAACAATTAAAATTCTCTATGGATTAGAGGTGTTAAATGACCTTTATACATAATGTGGTATTTAACTCATTTTTTTTTTTTTTTTTAATTGGATGACTTTCATTATAGAACATAATTGAACACTATTTGAGTTCATATGTAAATTAAAGGGCTTGACTATAGAATAATACAATTGAAATGTAATTTAATGACCTGCCTTAGTTACATAAAAGTATTAACTTAGGTGTGTTTTAATTTTGTTACAAACTATTTATTTATGTTTTAGAATCAAATACTTGATCGCGTGAAATGTGACCACGTAACTGTAACAAAACCAGAAGAAGATCGGCGAAGAAGAACCATAATTGTTGAAAAAAAAAATGGAAGTTACGGCTTTATGCTTCAGGTAAATATTAAGTACATTTTAAATCTCGTTATCAGATCTTCTACAAATTGTTTTTTGTTCTTTTGTTTATTTCACCAAATTTTCAAGTAAATATTATGATAATATTTATCAATAACATATTTATCATCATTATTGGTTTAAAATATAAGATATTGTTTATAGGTTATCATATAATTCTTATAATTTTTAATTCAGTAATTGAGAATCAATTAATTATTTTTGATACCTAGTTATTATTTTATTACTATATATTGATAATTTTAATTTTAAAGAGTTATGGTATTCATTATAAAAAAGAGCAAGAGATTGAAATGATAACATATGTAGACCATGTCGATTATGATGGACCAGCATATAGAGCCGGAATGAGAGAAGGTATTAATTTAATAACAATTACATTATAACAAATAATGATATAATAATTATTGCTTGATGTAATTTAGGCGATGTAATATTGTCGATAAATGGCGTTGACATGGAAAAGGCTGACCATAAAGCATTAGTTAATTTTATAAAAAGCTGTGATTCACGAATGAGAATGGTAGTATTATTCGAAGACTGTGTGCGAAAAGTAAGGCATTAATTATTAAAATAATTTAATGTATCAAATGTTATCAACATTAAAATTTACCGCAAAGGTCGACTTACATATGAGATATATTCAGCTACAACGTACTCTTCAAGCCAAAGTCGAAGAACTTGAAAAAGTCGAAATCAAAGAGAGAGAACTCATGGAAGGAAAATGGAAAACACATAGTTTACCCGCAAGAAAAAAGTCTAGTCATTCTTCCAAGGACACTGCCAATCAAAAAATATTGACTGAAAACGGTACGTAATTAGCAATAAAATTATAATTATTTTTTTCTCTTCACCAATTAGTCTTATTCATTGTACTTTCGAGTGTAGCTACTGGGTGTCTTATGAACATATTATATTTGTAGAGAGTAGATACTAGTCGCAGTGTTAAGGTTCGAATCGGAATCACAAAACCCGGGATAATAAACGGTTCTCAACTCTCAATAGACCATGGTTTCTACATTATTATTGGTGTTACAATTATATTAATTTAATATCTTATCTTATTAAGTCTCTAAGATTTTTTTTTAGATTTATTATAAATATCTTATTACATTTTAGCTGATTAAATTTTAATTTGAGATTAATTTGGGTACAAATATTTTTAGTTTTTGGTTTTTGTTTTAAGTACAGGTGAAGTAAATATCCGTGATTTACTAATCAAGCATATGAGAATTAAATAACGGATTATTAAATTTAAGTACACTTTAACAAAAAATACGTAATCACGTGAATCTTAATTCACGTTCAAATTCGATAGCTCTACTATTTATGTGTAATGGTGGATATTACCTTTTAATTAACAAACAACATGCTTACCTTTATCAAATACACATATTATATGTATATATAAAAAAATGTTATTCTTACATACATATATGATGTTACATAATATATATAAGATACAATTTATTTACTTCTTATCAATAAAAAGTTTTTTCATTATTATATTCAATTTTGACTTATCATCAAGGCGCTTCTCATAAATCAACTTTAATACTATAGATTTTATTTCAAAATGTTCTCATTTTATATTTATTGTTATTTGAACTATAATTTATTTAACACGCGATCAATTTAAAATTCTTGAAAGTTTTTCTAGTCTTTTTTTTATTTTAACCTAATAAAAAAGTATTTAATGATTTAAAAATTACAGGTGAAAGTTCTATGTCTAGACCTACGTTATCCACTGAAGACGTAGCTAAAGTTCAGCAAATTTATGTTCCCAAACAAAACTTCATGCTGGCATACCGACCACACCACTTCATTGACCAGCACGGACGTTCCTATTACTTACATCAGCCTACTACTGCCATAATCAATGGAGATTCAAGTTATGTCGGTTGGCATAGGTAATTTTTTTTTCCACGCACTTACTTGTTATTTTAAATTTTAGGTTCAATATAGAGTAATAAAGCATCTTTATTGTTTACCATCAATATATAAAAGCTATAAAGCTCGTGGTCTTTATTTGTTGAAGAATTCTTAGTAAAAAAAGTCAGTACAAATTAAAAAGTTATAAAAAATATTTGTTTCCGCGTAAAAAAATATAATGGTAAATGATAATGAAATATATAAAGCTACGGAAGTATTGAAGTATAAATAGTTTGTTTTTTATTCAATTCACTAATTAGATAATTTATGGAACTAAAATAAAAGTAAATTAATTACTTTCACTTATATATTAACGGTTAATGTTACACTTGTTTTTTATTATGTGAAATAATTTGTCTAGTTCTGGGTGAACAATTAACACAGTTATTAAAAAACTGCAAATTGTGTATTTTATCAAAAACAATACTGTAGGTTAGATTCATATTTCGAACAGAAAAATAGGAAATAGTAGGTCACATATAATAAACTATTCTACCGAAAACTGTTTCACTAACAGTAAATAATAAGTTTCTAATAATAAAGTAATAATGGATTTATTTAATAAAAATATTATGTATAAATAATTCGTGCGTGATAATTAATATACGAAAGTTTCGCAGACAATTTGTCATGTTAGATTGGATTAACTATTAGAATTTACGATTTATGTCCTCAACGAAATACGAATGCAAGAAAAAAATTGCATTCGTATAATTGAGATTCTACTATTTAGTTGTAAATCGTCATCGACCTTTTTCAGAAACAGCCTTTGTAATAAACAGAACGAATCAATTTTTTGTAAATGTTGTAATGACTTGTAGAAATTATGTGTCTCGATATATATTTTTACTTTTTACATATTTTTTAGCTTCATCCTAGACCAAGTGTAAGACTATCTGCCAATTTACGAATACATTTTTTCGGACCCTGTTGGTTTAGGTTGTTGGATTAGGTTACTGTTTAATAATATTTTTGTGTGTTTTGGACAGCGAGAAATTTGGTAAGTTTTAAAACGGATAACCACATTGAAATTAGTTAGTGACGACCTCTATGGTTCGCTGTTCTTCTGCAGAAGGTCTTGTTATTTTTTTGAATTGTATTCCTCGTTCATCGGATTACATTGCTATACATTTACATGTATGGTAAAACATTACGGTTTTAGCGTGCACATCCATTCAATGGTGCTTTGCGATTGTACATTTTCAGCAACAATCCGAATTACAACAAAAAGTACGAGCAACAAGAAAACTGGGCTCCACCGGCGGATCAACCGGTCCAGCAGAGGAGACGATCGCATTACGTGGTCGAAGTCAGCCGTCGGTGCAGCACATCGTCGGACGGGCCGAATCGTTCGCAGCAGCAGCAGCAGCCAACTGCGCAGCACTGCAAACAGCACAACTTCACGTGCAGAGCGTCGCAGAGGTCTTCATCACAAGGTAAATATGTAGCACATGTACGTGCGCGCACACCGCCAATAACATATGCATAGGCGTACACGTGGTAGTAATTATACTGCACGCGCATAGCGTTTTGCGAACCTACATGTCGTACGAATACGCGTCAGCCGCGTGCATTTGTATGCGCGCAACAATACCGCGGTAACGAGACGAGATATCGTCATAACGGTGATCAAATATTAACTCGTTCGATGATACGCGTAGAACGCCATTGCGCGCGCGCGTAACATTAACACGGTGTTTTGTTTATTTAGTTGCTTTTACTGAGTGCTGCATATATTTCACTACGCATTTGTACACACCTATAACTAAACTGTAGCATAACGTTTTTCGTCACTGTCGCTCACTTTCTTACGCTACTACTACAGCTCACCCGCTAACGCACACACACACACACATAGCGCGCGCGCATTTGACACGTCTCTTCTTTGGTGGATTTTTTTTTTTTTCTTTTTTTCCGTTGTTTGTTGTTTCCTATATGCTTTCCGGTGTAGGCGATAATTGTCCGCGATGGGGTTGCATACGCACCGGTGGCGGCGCTTCAGGTCGTCGGCGGAACTGCGGCGACGAAGCGGACGTCGACGACGACGACGACGACGACGACGACGACAACGGGGGCGGCGTCGACGACGACGAGATCAGCCTGGAGGCGTACGATCTGGCCGCGAACGGCGGCGCGGCTTGTTGCCCGGGCTCGCAGTGCGTTCCCACCAGGAGACACCGGCGGCGTAGGCGCAAGTCGACACACGGCGGCTGCGTCGGCGGCGGCCGCGACAAAAGCCCAGGCAAGCTGACCATGCACGATACGCCGCGATCTTGCTGCTGGCCGGACTGCTTGTCGCTGGTGTTCAGCGGATGCCGCCCGTAGTAGTCGCCGTTGTACACCGCTGCGAACCGTTGCGGTTTTCTTTGCTATTGTTGCTGTGCCGCTCGATTGGCGTAGAATGCACGCGCACGTCCGTCGGCCACGAGTGTAGACTTTATACCGACGTACACGTGTATAGATCCAAGAGTGTAGCCATATGCTGCTCACCTACACCTGTATCATCATGTTTTCTGCGCTTTTTTTTTTTTTATTTTTGTTATTCATTTAAGCGCGCACGAACGGTATTATTCCGATCTACACACGTAGTGATCCTTGTTTTGTCCACTATTCGCTTTTGAAATCGTTCAACACTCGCAAAATGTTTTTTTATTATTATTATTTTTTTATTTTGTACCATTATTTTCATTATTTTGTTTATATCATTTTTTTTTTTAGTTTATCAAAAGACTGATAAATTGTATTTCTTTTTAAATTGTATCGTAATCACATGCGCGCTCTTATACGTATCACACATAGAACATATAAAGTGTATGTGTTATTACGTATATATGCAGCGGTGACCATCGTATGTGTATTTTAACTATGGTAACCGAGTTTTGATATTTAATTCAACGAATACAAATATTTTTGTCGCGCCGTGCCTATATTTCTGGCTGTCCCCTGTGACCATCTCAAATACCGAGGAAAGCATTCCTCGATTGTCATGGTTAATTTAGAACTATATATTATGATCAATCGCATTGTTTTATATTATTATTATTTTGCATACGTATATTTATAATCATTTTTTTTTTTTTTTTTTTTGTATTACGTTTTACGTTATTCGTATTACGTGCATATTGTTCATAAACGAAAAGTTTTATTATTTTGTCTGATACAAAATCAACTTAAAACATCAAATGCATGTATTTGTACATTATTTTTATTTATTATCTTTTAGTTATCTCTTGCATGACTGTAGACTGACTGTTGACGATGTATAAATTTTATTATTTTTATGTAATATGTAGATTGTTTGACATAGGTATTTGTGTTATACATTATTTTATCTGAACCACACGATAACGACTATTGTTGAACTAGCTCCTATTTTAAATTCCTTATGCATGTAGAATTAATAAAACCATTGATTAAAATTGAATTCAAAATTGCTTAAAATCAATATTTAATTAAATTTTTAATGAGTGTCTTGGTATAAATGGTATTCACGTATCAGACATTTAATGGGTTACCTATTTTTAAAATTTTATTTGTCTATTTATCAAGACGAACCAAATGCTATAGTAGGTATATAGGATTGCCAACAATTGATGCGGTATTCGAATACGCTGCCTGTTAGATGACCTTTATGACCGATTTGTTGTAAAAATTATTTAACATCAATAGCTTCTCTTACATAAAACCATTTGAGGGGCATACGGTTTAAATCGTATTGCAAGTTTGCAAATAAATAAAAAAACTAATAACACATGTAACGTACTCCCTGACCATAAGTATATATGAAATTAGAAAGTTATATTAACGAATAAGATAATTTCGAAATCAAATAAATGAAATTTTGTAAAAAAAAAATTATTGTATAATGATAAGAGCGATTAGGTTATGATTATTTTTTAAACCAATTACAGTTATTACTTTGATAAAGAGTACAACAAATTTAAATTATATTAAATTCCAATAGAAACTCATTATGTGGAATATTTTTGGTTTACTACAATGATTATCTATATTAATTTTTATCAATGACTCAAATATGTAAGTAGCCAATTGTTTTTTCAACACTTAAGTATCTAATTAGAAAGTTTTTATTTGTTACGTAATGTCCTATAAAATTATTAAGTGTTCTTATTATTTTAAATAACGGGTGAATAATATTTTGTACAAATTTGTCGCCAACTAGTGATTAGTCGGGTCAGCCTTCGCCAGAACTCGATATTGGATATTAGGAAAACGATTATATTATGTAAACACACGCACTAGAATTAGTTTAGTTACACGGATACAAGGGTGGATGTGAGGGAAAATTTCGTTAAACCGTGTTGTGTTTTAAAAACTACTAATGTTTTCGCTTGATTGAAAAATTCCTCACGAAGATATTCAACGAATACTGTACATGGTCGACGCAGTTGAATGGCATCGGGCTTCGTAATATTTATAAAATAGACGTGTTCACGAGGGAACGAGGTTGTAAGCTTTCCCCCCCCCCCCAAAATAATTATATTACCATGTTCCCATTTATAGAAAAAAGTCCTGATATTCGATATTATTTCATACAAACATTCGTATAATCACCATTGCTTATCACGATTCAATTTTTTTTATTTTGAGTAGAACAATTTTATATATTATATATTATATATATAATATATTATTTTCATCTTAGATTAGCCCACCTATTTTACATAAAACCATATAAAAATAAAAAAATTATTCAAGTTGGCCACCCATACGCTACTCGAATGCTGCAGCGCAACTACTACCCGTGTTTTCAGTGTTTGAATTCGATAGGAGGAGGGAGTATAATTCTTCTTATTTTTCCAAGTGATATGCTCTTACATTTTCCCCCGAGTCGACGAGCTAAGCTTGTCGAACAAGATAATATACACTACGTACAACGTTATATTGTAGTTAATATTATTGTTGTTGTTGATGTTGTGTACTTTGCCGCGTTAGGTGGTACGACATACGATTATAATTTGAGCATTTGGCTGTGTTGTGTGTGTTCGCAGAGTGCAAGTCGGAGACCTCGTTTTGCCGGAAGGGACACGAGAAACGGCGTAACTCGTCGCGAAACGACGTGGACGAACATAAATCGCAGCAACACGGCGGTGGCCATGGCCACGGTCACGGTTACGCTAACCTGGTGAATGACAGGTACGCGTCAGACGAGCGGATATGCCAGAGTACGTCGACCGGCATCTGTGACGGCAGGCCCCAGAACAGCCTGACCGAAAACAGCCCGGCGTCGTATACGACGTCGCTGAGTACGGACACGTTGTACTGGGACGAGGACCCGATGACCGCGGCCATCGGCTCTCACTCGTCGTCCGTCGCGTCGCGACAACACTCGGTCAAGTCGCAGTCGTCCTCGACGTATCGGCGCGAGAACTGCGCCGTGAAACCGGTAAAATCGTGGGACAACCTGACCACCAAGGCATTCGGCGGTTACGGGTTCGGCTACGAGTACTTGGACCGTGATCAGATCGTCAACAACAACAACAACAACAACAATAATAACAGTGGAGGTGGTGGACAACAGCAGCACATGGTATACCTGCAATTGAAGAACGTCAAAGGTGGCCAGAAACACAGTCACGGTCACCACCATCACCATCATCAGCACCACAAGAACCATCATCACCATCACCACCATCATCACAACGGCGGCGGCCGGATGCGACACCCGACCAAGTCCACGGAAGCGCTACTTTCGCTTCCTCCGCAGTATCCAATAGCGGCCGTCGAGTCGTCGGCCAGCTGCGAATACTTGGACTCGTGTTCGTCATCGGCCGGCGGCCGTTACTTCAGTTACATCAAGAACGACAAAGCGAGTCAGACGGATTGCCGAAGGTACGCGGCCGCTGCGGCACATCTGCAACCAGAAGTGACGAGACTGTGATGGGTGTCTCTCGAATTGTCACTTTTACTTCGTCCTGTTTTACCCGCACACTAATTAGGTTTCTATATTTATTCGCGGCGAAAACAAAACAATGTAATCTCTACCTGTAATAACATTTTTAGTAAAAACGCGCATGTTGCAAAATAGTTTTTTTTTATGTATACATCATATAATAATATCGTAATCTCTTCGTATTTATCTCTAGTCAATATACATATGCGTTATAAAATAAAAATCCCCGTGTATCAAACATCATGTCTGATTTACGACTATTATTATTTTATTATTATTACTATTATTATTATTGATTATTATTATTATTGTTCTGATACCATATATATTTATATCCTGCGTTGTATACGTTATCAAATATCGCAGTGGATCGAACAGTGAGGGGTTTCAAATGTCTATACGTTATAGAATATTTACGACGACGTTATATTTCCGTCGGATATTTAGGCACGTGTAGGTACGGGCGGCCGATGAAATAATTTGTTGTTTCGTTTAGTGCTGCATAGTATTACGTTTTTTCTCGACGGGTTTTCTCTGCTTATTCACGGCCTCTGGTAGAGGCTTAAATTATTTCAAACAGTTTTTCGTTTGAAATAATTTAAATCTCATTCACGGCAGACACAGCAGAACCTAATTTTAATTCCGAAAGACTGCTGAAATAATATTATGCTACCCGAAGAGTTTACCGTATTTATGCGTCCATGGTTATTTTTAAAATCTCTTTTAGGGGAAAAGGGTGAACTCCTTACTGCCCAATCGTACTGCTTTATTTGATTTATTTTTTATTCGCGTGTGAACGTATTTTAGTCATTGCTTTTATATAAACATAAACATTTGTTTTTATTATCATAATTTATAAACCGCTCGTGTGTATTGATATTTATTTAAATTAAAGAAAATATAAATAAGAATAGTAAAACAAGAATTTAATACATTTTGTGAATTTTATTGTTTATTGTCGAATATCACTGTATGTAATATACATGTTTTTCATTTTATTATAACCCTGCAAACGTACGGTTATGTTCAGTGAACTGCAATAGTTTACTGCAATTTGAAATCACACAAGACCATAAACTAAAATAATATCAGACGGACATTTCCCCGATTACAACAGCGTTTATATAGTATTACAGTGGTTAACATTTGAATTTCGTACATGAAATCCAGTACAGTAAATGCGATTTTTATGTTTGCTTCTGCTAAAAGTAAAAAATAATTTTTTACTTATCGACTTGTTTGAACAGCATTATTTCATGGTCGTCGTGACAAGATATGTTCATGTTATAAGCGACTCAAACAGCACGTATAGATTAAATTCCAACTTATCATTTACTCTTATTCAAAAGTTACAATATTAACATAAATTAAAACCCATGTTCATTTTCTGATGATTGGGGGGAGTAGGGCTTGGGTCGCATTGTCGTGAATCGGCGCAAACGAATTGCATCCCAAATTCAAAATATTATTTTCCCCCCCATTTTAAACAACAAACTTAGGACTGTCGATACCAAATCATTATTAACGGTAGGTTATTCAAAATACTGTTTTTTCTCGTTATACTAGAAATATGTAAATTAAATTATATTACATTTTAATGATAATTATATAAAAAAATTAAAAGATTAAATTTAGATTTAAAAATTATAAGACTGGTGAAAACTTGAACCATATCTTTTTAATTAAATCGAGATGTGTTAATTGTTTATTTTCATACTTATCGTGCATTCGTTTAGATTAGGCCTGACGGAGTTCATAATCGATTTTTTTTTATTTTGTGAAGCAATCCGTGTGCAGCCGTCGTGAATCATGTCCAGGCCTCTGTCTCACACGGGCTATGTAATATTATTAATATTATAAGATAAACTTGATTTGAGACTACTATCTCAACAAACATTCACCAGTCGCTGTGGGTGTTGATCGAATAGAACGATTGCAACATAGATAATAGAATAGTTCATTATATTATCTATAGATTGCAATAGGTACCGGTAACGGATTAGCGGTCACAGCATGTTATTAGATATCATGTGACCGTTCTACTCAGTAAGCCCGTCGAGGGTGCCAAGTTAAAATAGTGCGGTGTAACATTAGTATGCTAGTCGGTATTGTTACGATTCGCTAAGGGTATACCGCACCTGCAGTAGTTATTAATTCATACATCTTCCATTGACAGTCAAGCAGCTATAAGTTAAGTTACACATAAATTGCAAATTGAATTATAAGCATACAATTAATCTGCATAAAAGCCGCCCCCCCCTCATTTTAAGTCCGTTGCACATCATATCTTTTACTCTCACGCATCTTGCATAGAATCTTCATATTTTCCTCAATTTCTCAATTAACCTCCAAAACACTCTTACAGATAAATATGTTGAACAATTTATTGTACGAAAAGAGAAACTTGGTCTTCGATCAACTGCAGAGAATAAAAAATAAAAAATAAAACATAAAAAATACATTAATTAGTACAGCTTAATCAAAACATTAAATCAACATTCACTGTTACATGGCGTGTATAAAGTTTGTAGTTCAATTTGAGTATTGTTCCTGGATAGAGGTTTGTTAAATTTCATTGCTGATATAATACAATAATACCGAATGATAATGATAATTTACAACGGTTGTTCAACTGTAAAGTCTGTATAGAAGGTATTACTCGACAGAATATCCTAACAAAACTGCGGTAAGGACTATAGCGTTATCTATTGCGAGATGTGTTGATACGTTCAATATCATTGAACACAGTTACCTAGTTATTAATCATTATTCATTGTCATTAAACACAAGGTTTTAACATAATCTAAAAGTAGGTTTGCACCTATACGGCTAATAGAATAACTACTATTTAATAATTTTGAACAGAGAATAATATGACAGTTATTATTGCAGGTATTTATTATTTATATATATATATTGCCTTTAGTAAATTAAAATTGGTATATTATGTTAGCAATCGAAAGTTAGGTAAATTAATTTATTTGAAACGTATTTTATTAGATTAATTATCTTCTTCTGTAATTGAATCTCCGTTATTTAAGCTTTCTCGAGCGGCTAAGTAATTTTTTGCCATATCTTTCGCCTGTGGAAAAAAACAAAACAAAACACTAGTAAGATAAAATAATTTTAAAAAAACGCGCTATAACAAAATATTTTTGGTAACTACCATCGGTGAATTTTCCAAAACACATTTCATCATCGCGTAACCGGCTTCGCAATGAGTGTTCACTTCTGAAATTTGATATTAATCAGATGTGAATAATTTTTTTAAGAACATTGAATAAAGTGATGTTAACAGTTGAATTAGTACACAAGCAACGCCACAGTGATAGAAATACGTTTGTTAATTGTTAGGATCCAGTCGTCATCGGATAAGACAACGGTCAAATGTTATAAATATTGACTTATGCTATTATGTGTCAATGATAATTATTATTTTTTTTGTATTCAGTAACCATTGCGCTTTAAGAATTATATGTACCTAATAATATTTTTAATGGACACTTTATAACTTCTCATATTATTATAAATAATCAAGTATTTTAAGTATTTTTATTCAATTAGCGACAATTATTTTGGTTCCTTCAAGTTATGAGATCTGTTAATGTAAAAGCCTTAAACACATATGTACATTATAACAAATAATAGAAGTAAGTAAGAACACAAAAAATAAAATAAAATAATGGACAATCAAACGTTTGGATACCTACTACGTATAAATGAATGATACGCGTAAGTGATAACTACCTACGTTTTAACGTGGTGCTGTAAATACACGTAGTTATGTAACGTTATATTGTCTACGCTGAAACGATTTTATTATTTGCCATTTGCGTCCTCTCAAAGTTGCCCAGGTATATCCGTATCAGAGGTATTATATTATTTTTGCGTGTTTAACGTGACCCCTCAAAATAAGCAGATTTCAAATTATGACATATAAATATTCAAATTCATATCGAACGATGTCAAAATTATTTATACATTGTGCGTGTAATGTGTTACACACATGTACGTATATGTACAAAACTTCGCGTTGTTTACAGAAATTGTTGTTGCGCAACGACGTACAAAACGTATAGGTACATCGAAGAAAGTGTTATTTGAATGAACGGTTTAGGTACCAGTGTTGACGATGCAACATAATAGGTACTATGAATATCGAGTTACAGAGCGTAATTTATAATAAAAAAAAAAAACCCGTCATTTGCGCGCAGGTACATTTCACGTTAACCATTTATATGCATGATAATATTGTATTATTTTTTTAATTTATTTCTATTTCACTGCGAGCCGGAACGATTTTCGTCATCACCGCGGGTATATTATTGTATTAATTTAAATTATACTTTTAGTCGCAGCGAATCTCATCCTTGAATATCTCATATTCTGAAGAATTCACTATTGCTATTGATATGGTTATAGTAAAAATAATTCCACTATAGTATAATACATACACTACATGTATTCAGAATTTTCCCGGTATGTTTAAAAAGTTTGAAATTTTTCTTATGTGTTTTTTTTTTTTCATTAGAAATATTTCCTAGCTCGGAAAACATCCTTTTAAGTATATTTCGTTGGTGTAATAATGCACCTCGTAAATATTTTATAAATTTATAAATAATGTAACATTGTTGATATGCCACATGCAGACAGTTTAATTAGTATGATGCATTTATATAGAACGAAAATCAATTAAAATTAAATAATTTTGTTATTTCGATTTTATCACGATTTTTGTTTTCGTTTCCAGTGTACTAAAATAATCGAATTCATAAATCGTATATAATAGTTATCCGTATTTACCGACGGTTTTAACTAGTTTAACGGTACAAATCGGTTTCTATCACCAAATTTTTAACGAATAATATAACTTGCTATAATATTTTAATAAATATATCACCATCTAAACAAGCCATTTCCATTATTTTAGTTTCTTTTTTAAGCATTTCGTTATCGAATAAAATCGATAACTCTTTAAATCTTGTCCAGTTCCATTTTCCACTGTCCACATTCATCTAAAATTTCAACAAAATACTTTAAAGTAAACGTATATACTTATATTATACTCTAATGTTAAACGTAGTACAAATAACATTTTCCAAATGCTTGAAATTATTAAAAATTGTCAGTATACGCCGTTAATTTATTTACAAAATAAAAACATTCTCCACCGTTTCTATTCCTTTCTCATATGCTATACTTGGTTCAATTTTTAAAACTTCAATATTACTTCAACTTTTATTCCAAGTAATTAAATTTGGGTATTTTACAGTGGCGTAGATACAATTTTTTTCTGGGGGGGGGGGGGGATTAAGAGTAAGTTTTTAAGTGTTCTTAGTATATCATAAAACGAGGTCATATGTAATAATATTACATTTAAAATGGTATTATATATATATATATATATATATATTGTTCCGTATTTAATGAAAATTATTTTGTTACTCATTTTTTAATATGTACCTAATCATAGTAAAATCAAAATATTTTACTATAATATGTAAATATTAATAAATAATAATCAAATATCATTAAAAAAAAATCTGTGGGGGGGGGGGGGGGAAACCCCTTACACCCTCCCCGTAACTACGCAACTGGTTTTTTATAAGTATACTACTTATGAAAACTAGACGGCATGCGTATGCGAAATAAATTTTGGCTAAAATCGTCTCGAAACATGTTAACGAAATTATGATAAATAATTAATGATCGGTATCAAAATTACGATGTTATCAATTTTGTAATGAATTGAAGGCAACATAGACAGTATAAAGACAATATATTGACAATACAAAGGTAAACATAGAAAATAACAAAACTTTTTATAGAAATTCGGAAAATTGAGGCTCGTGGAATTTATGGGTAGGTAAAGGTTTGTTCGTATAAATGGTCAAGATTAACTACTTTATGCACTCCTCAGCCACCTTCAATCTAAGTTCTATATCTATATACCAATTTTATACATACCGTTCCCATTTTTTTCGCCACACACGGACCAAAACACTGAAATAAAATTAAAATATGATAAAACAATAAATTATTAACTAAAAAAAAATTAAACAATATATTATTATATATATTTTCAAAATTGTAAATAACTTCGAAACGTATACGAAAAATTTTAATTATTACATGCAAACATTGAGAATGACAATTGAATTAGCAAGATGATAATTAGAGGTATAACTTTCATTAAATCATACTAATATAGCTTAGTGAATTCATATAAATGTAAATCCTTGGTTTTTACTTATATTTCATTAATTTCTCTTTAAGCTCCTATTATAGAATGTATTAATTTAATTTTCGAAATTTTATGATTTTTTTTTTTAAACAATAAAATATATACCAACGGTATACTAATATATATTTTTTCTTAGTATAATAACTTATTAATAATAAGTTTCTTTGGATTAATTTTTGTTTAAAGAGACCGTTTTTGATTTATCATTTTCTAGCCAAAAAATAAATAATATTTAGATATTAGATCTAACCTAATAAACCTAAACTAATAATTTTTGATAAACCTAGTTTTGTCCATTGAAATTAAAATCATACTACGCTAAAATTTATAATAATTATATAAAATCTTGTGTGTGCATACTGATTAGTGGTTACTAACCAACTCAAGGCTTACAAAACAAGACGAATATCCAATACAAATTTTATGTGTACACTGTATATAAAAACCTATTTAATTTTTTATAGCATTGCATTACTGAAAAATGTGCCAATCTTAATTAATAAAGTATCAAATATAAGAAAATACCTGCCTTACAACCATTGTATTTTTTATCACTGTGGTCTTTATCCTTCATTAATAATTCACTGCAAATATCTATTGGTAAATTATTATAAAATATAATTAATTTAAAATTAATTTTAAGTTATTTTTTTTATATTCTCATAATTAAATAAATAATATTACCGATATTTACTTCCAGTTCTTGCATACATATGAATATATTATCCAACATATCATCCATCACTTCACTTTGGTTGTTGTACTTCCTTTCAGGATTTGCCTGGTTCAGTGAAATAACGTTAAGCAATTTTAAATCATAGGTAGGTATAAGGAGAGATAACATATTTTTTTTCTCCATTTATCGTACATTTTGATAACAGATTTGTACATATATAGTATGTTTTATACTTAAACACTATAAAAAAACAATACAAAATATAAAAACTCCACCTTGTAACCTTAAGTAATTTTAATAAAGATCAATTGATTGTGTGACTGGACTTCAACAATTAAAAATTAACATTTTACTATTTAGTACTTACTTAGATTACGTTTAATATGTTATGTTTAAAATTTCATGTATGAGATTTTTTAATGAATATTTAATCGTACATTAACATAAAACCATAAAACCATAAGTTAAATCAAAATAAATTTTAAGTTGCTAACAATTTTACACCCAATTGCTATAGACATATGTTACTAATATATATTGAATACATTGAACATTGATTCTCGAGTATAGGTTTAAAGTTTAAACCTATACTCGAGAATCGAGTTTAGGGTTTAAACTTTAAACCCGTTTATACTGTCTACATGGGTATTATAAATTCCAACGTCATAACATAAACATCTAGTGATTAGATACGATTCATGTAGTTTTGACCATTATTAGCTATACGATTATAAATAATGGCAAAAAGCAATAACTGTGTATGATATAAAAGCAAGTAATTGATGTTTGGAATAATACACTGAAAACCAATGTGACTCTTTCAAATAAAATATTATGGAGTTTTCTTTATATTGATTTCTTTAATATACTCGTATCAATATCTATAAAAATAGATTTTTATTTTAGTTATCTTTGTTAGTATTATACAGTCTTCTTGTGTATGCTGTTCTTACATCTGTGTTGATGCGATATAAAAGTGTTCACGTTTGTTGGAAACTAATACCATCATGTCATTAAAATCTAAGAAATATGTATAAATAAGTAAAGTCGCCAAAACATGATTGTTAAATATCGAAATAAAAATGTATACTCCTCTCTTCGTTCGTCGCCTAAAATAGTGATTAGTGACAAATCATTTTTACCTCTAATGAATAACTCAGAATAGGAAAAATAGAGCTAACATGCGATTTGAAACAATTATTATTGATGTGTTTAAGTATACCAAAGAATTCAATAGATTTTTTTTTTCTATTAAAAGAATAATTACAATCTATACAAACATTTTATACAATAAGTAATTTTTTTGATGGAGAATAGCGTTGATATAACAGAGAGGGAGGGTATTCAGTAATACCACCCGACAGATTAAGCAAGGAAATCTCTAGGCCAAGATCGTTTCAATCTTCTTTTAGGATTATCGGGAATTGTACAAGAAGATAGACGTTTAATTAATGAATTATTATGGTGATTTAGCTTATAATGGAATGAGAGGAAGTGAGATTTAGTTAGCTGAGAAAGTGTAGGAACGTTTAAGTCATTATGAAGATTGGCGTTTTTTATATACCAAGGAGCAGAAACGATTTGACGGAGACATATAGATTGGAAGGCTTGTATAGTTCTCAGGTTTAAGGATTTCGCGGAGTCCCATATCTGAATGCCATATGCTCATACTGGTCTTAAAATAGCTTTGTAGATTAACAATTTATATCTGGTGTTTAGTTTGGAGCGAAGAAGTGGACGGAGCAAGTGAAGTCTAGAGTTTACAGATTTCCTTTTATTTTTGAGATGTTGAGCCCAGGTGAGTCGTTTATCAAACGTTAGGCTCAGGTATTTGACTACAGGGGTTGTTGGAATTAAGTTATTATTAAATGAAACTGGAGGACAGTCTCCAGGTCTTAGTGAAAAGGTAATAAAGGAAGATTTGGAGTCATTTATTTTTATTTTCCATTTTTTTTGACCCGATCTGAATCATGTTTAGGTGATTTTGTAACCTATCAGACACAGTTTGAGGGTTGTTATTTGAGGCCAGGATTATTGTGTCGTCGGCGTAAGTGCCTAATGATGTGTGTAGAGTTTTCGGAGTGTCATGTGCAAATATAGTATAAAGAAAAGGCGCTATGTCGGATCCTTGGGGGACGCCAGCCAAAATAGGAAAGCTAGCCGAGTAGCTGTTGTTCACTCTAACTGAGAAAGTTCGATTTTCAAGATAAGACTTTATGATAAGGTAATATGGAGCAGAGAGAAATTTTTTAAGTTTATAGAGTAGGCCATCGTGCCACACTCTGTCGAAGGCTTGGGCCACGTCTAGCAGAACAGCAGCACAGTATGCTTGGATTCCATACTAGAAGATATTAAGTCGACAGTACGTAGGAGTTGGTGGATGGTAGAGTGTTTAGCCCTGAACCCGAGTTGGTGGTATGGAATGATGTTAGCATTGTCTGCCAGTGGGAAGTCTGCCAGAAGTCTTTTCAGGTCAAGTCTTTGGCCCATTAGCTCAGTTGAATAGATTCTTAAGATTTTTTTTTAACATATTCATCAATTTTAATTTAAAAATTATCATTTCTATTCGGAATCGTGGAAATGTTTTAGTCTTAAGATAATATTCAAATATTAGTGACGGTCAATTTACTCAACTCAATTTAATGCATCTATCCTTGTTGATCAAATTCGGAAATTAATTTCCATAAAAATTGTTATAATACTAGGCCTGGATAAAAATCTGTCAGAAATATAATATATATTCACAAATAAATACAAGTAAAATATTTAAGTCATATAATTTTTTAATTTGTAGGTAACTCAATATTATACAGTACACAACAATGGTGTATTTAGGGGGGGGAGATTAAAGAGATACATCTCCACCATTGGTTTTTTGTTTTAACATTCGTGTTTTATTTAATTTACATAAAATAAGACTGAAAATATTATACATTTATATTTATATTATTATGATTAAGTTAAAGTCATTTCCAAAAATTGATAATACCCATGTATTAAAGAGAAGGAATAAAAAACAATAGTCATATCTCCCCATCAAAGAAATCCTAAATACGCCATTGGTTTACAATAGGTAATACTTACTTATTGATCTTTCATTTACTGAGTTCTATTCCAATATATATTTAAAGCAGTTAAACCTAATATAAAATATTATAAGCTAATTTAAAGAACATACTAAAATAATACTTTGATGAGTCGTATACGCATGTACATATTCTACTTTTGAGTACCTAACTAGTTTATATGTTAATACTTACTGTCACTATCGACAAAGACGCCAAAAAACAAATAATCAAAAAACTATACATATTTTTTTTTAAGCAATATTGAATTTTACATGAACGAGATAGATTCATGAAGATTTACTGATTAATGGAAAAATAAAAAATGAAATAATCCTCTTTTATACATAACATCCATATTTGACAGGAAATCCAAATAATTTTTTCAAACAAAGCATTTTTGATTATATCATAAAATATAGTTACGTGTATATTTTAATACTTCAAAATATTATGTATATTAAACAAGTATTATTAGTAGTATACAGGGTGTTTGAATATTTAAAAAACTAAGTAATTTTTATTTTTTTATTGAAACAAATAACATATATAAAATGTTTTGATTAAATTTAAATTTATCTTATTATATCTGTTATTTGTTTTTATATGGTATACATTTTAATGTTTTTCTTCTATTGTTGTTTAAATTATAATTTAAATATTTTAAAATGTTTAAAATTCGTTTTAAAATTTAAAAAATATTTCAAACACAATACTAAATTTTTCTGATATTTAATTAAGATTGGCTTTTAATTACGATCGATTTTAGCTAATTTCACTAATTTCCCAATTTAAAAGTGGTTAATTAATACGTAAAAATATTTTAGATTTTTTTCCTTTTAAACATAAAACTTTACTAATTGAATAAACTCTTACATATAATACTATTAATTTATAAATTATATCATAAAGTATATAGAATTTATAAATACATTTTCATTTTAATTAGGTGTATGTTCGTCGATCTGAACCAAATAATATAGCTATTTCATTGAATATGATTTTCTAGAATTAATCTCAATATTTTTTTTTTTAGGCTTAGTATAGACCATTAAGGTCCTTTGCCGCAACTACTTACCTATACAATTTTATCATTTTATTTAATCTCAATATTATTTTAACAAAATTATAAGTATAATTTAAATTATTTTATACTAAACAATTTCAAAAATATAATCTGTTAACAACAGTGGCTTCAATTTGACCGATATTTGCATATTTAAAATCCAATATTGTAATAATTTGGCCCACTTTATAAATTTATTGGCCTAAATAATTGACAATGGCTTACGCTTAACTAATCAATATATTTTATTTTTAAATAAATAATTAGTTTTTATTTTCTGAATCAAAAACAAATAATTTATATAGATACAGTTCATAATTATGAAAATTAAAAACTCTTTAATATTTTCCACATTTTTAATCATATTAAAAAAATTCTAAATTCTAAATTCTAGACTTAAATATTTTGATCCAAATTCCACTATTTTAGAATATTTTTTAACACATTTCATATATTTTATTATAAATAAAGCCAAAATTCTTTCCAAATTTCAATCAGCAAAATCTTTGTTAAAACTATCCGATCATATCAACTTCGAGACTACTTTATCGAAACTCTCTTCTGCATTTTCCGAAATTTTCAAATTACTTTCAATTATTTTAATTTTACTTAATACAACAGCTTCTAATGAAAGATTCTTCTCGTCCTTAAAAATAGTAAAAAGCTTTTTGCACTTGATAATGGATGATGACAGATTAAATGATTTAATGGTTATCAACGTAGAATCATATACTGTACGCAATTTAGATATGGATGAAGCTGTAAATAAGTTTGTAATCATAATGATGCATTGGTATCCTTTTAAATATTGAAAAAAAATATATCTGTAATTATACCTAATAAATGATATTACACAAAATTGATTATCACCTCTTTCTTTAATGCTTTTTTTAGTTACATAATTTCGTAAATACCATTATTATATTCTACTAGCTTAATTACCCGGCTTCGCACGGAACATTCTTGACCGTGACATAGGTTTTATTATTTTACACTATTTAAAGCCAAGTTCGGTATAACTATTGGTGGTTATAAAACAAATAAAATGAAAGTTCAAATGAATCAGAATAATAATTTTGGTGATACCTCTGAATTACCGTATTTGCTGGTTCCAATATTTTTTTAAAATCCCTTCTTATTGCACGTTTTGTATATTGGAGAGACCACCATGTCAAATTTCAAGTTCATATAGTTTTGAGATGTAGCGATGATCAATAAGTGAGTTATAACTGACGTTGTCCGTTGAAAAAATTTTAAGTGTTCAATTCTTTTTGGGTGTTCCGTTGAACCTATACCTTCTTATTTTGGATTATTATTTTTTTATTTATTCATTTTATTGAGAAAAGTTTGACAGTTTGAGGTTCCAAATAAATGCTATTTATTAAAGTGTTTGTGGATTATACAATATTTTTTGTTTTTCCTTTTGTGGTGTGTACATAATTTGACACGTGAGTAGGCCACACACAGTTATCCATGTGAGAAGTATGAATTTTCAAAATTCAGTCCATACACTTGTTTTAATTGTCCTTGTAATTTGTTAATGATCATTGAAAAAGCGAGTCGCACTGGAAACTGCAAAAGTTTGAATTCCAATGGCTTATCTGTTGGAGTCATTGGGATGCGTGGTAATAGTACATGTTCACCTTTAAATTTTCCGTTTAAAATTATGACTTCGATTATGTTGTTATACAGTTTAATAATTTACATAATTAAATTATTAAAATCAACATATTAAACAAATCAAATATTTCCTTGGTAACCAAAAATTAAAAAATATATGCATCCAGTCCAAAACATTGTCGACCATTAAATATGCGATTTTCGAAAAATCCTTTCTTATTGCACGGTGAAAATATGAGAAGAACCTATATTCCAAATTTCAAGTCCGTACCTTGCGTAGTTTTTGAGATACAGCAATCAGTCAGTCAGTGGTATTTGGATTTTATATGTATAGATTAATATAATATATGGTATTATCATATTGTGGTAAAAATATCAACATTTTTTTTATTAACATTACTCTTGGACTACATTACTAAAATCAATTTAGCAAAAAAGTTGTTTTTGGTAAATTTTACTATTTCACTCGATATTTCAACAGTTTTTCCTCACGCCTAGAAAACAACTATTGAGAGAAGAGAAAAATTATGTTTAAGAATTATTTACATGCAATTTCCATAGAGTTGCCGGATCAAACATTTGGACCACTATTACTACCCAAAAAACTGTTTAAAAAATAAAAATAAACATCATCGTCTCATCATTCAAAATCTAAAAAAAATTTTAGTTAATTATTTTAAGCTTTGTTTATGGTAAATATAATAACGTAACATCGGATAGGGAAAACTAGAGGCAAGGATGTATGTCGGGATGGTTCTAGTTGCCGAGATTACCGAAGAAGAAAAAATTAAATAACACCTACTATTAAACGAATTAGTAAAATTATTGTTTGAAAATATGTAGATTATTTTATTTTTGTTGTGTTTAAAATTCTAGATAGGCTTGCTAGTGGTTTCTAGTTGGCCTGCTCTATACGCCATGCGTATTAAAAAAAAATTTAAGTGATACCACTGGTTAACAGTGTAAACCATTCTAGTTTCAGCTAATAAATAATTTATATATTAATGAAATAGGCAATACTGCATAGGTTGACTATTTAATCTACCTATATAATACTTGACATATATAATTCAGATATTTCTCATACTGTATAATATAAGTATCATATTTACGGTAAATTCAGTGTAAGATATGATACGTGATAATAAATGTAATGTATAATACATCGTTTGTAGAATCTAGTGTGTAAAAATCATATACATTCAAAAATTTTAAACAATGGTCAATGTAACTTGACGTTATTGAAAATAATAACTAAATGAGTATGAAAACCTTCATTTAAATTTGTTTCTCCTTGATATTATTTCATTCAACTGTACACGAAAAAACTCATTAATAGCAACAAATTAGAAGCATCACTGTGTTTATTTAATAGGGATTTGGGCTATCCATAATTAAAAAAATATACTTCTTTTATTTATTTATTTATTTATTGTATGGCAACTTATTCTTTATATGATCTTAAATTTTATATGCAATATTATTTACTTGTATTTGTGTAATTGTAAATACCTTATAATCAACAATTTTTTTTATTTCACTGTAATTATTGTTTCAATTATTTTTTAACAAACACACATACCAAATACGATCAAAACAATTATTTTAATTTTCTCATGATTTTTTACGTTTTTATTTCTATGTTACTTGTTAAAATATAATACTAATTTTCAACTATTTTATTAATTTTACTGTGCAGTAATACTACATTTCATATTACATGAACAACAAATCAAATCTAAAATTATAATTTTAGTTATTAAACTACCTATAAAATATTTAATCCAAAAAATTAACCCGCAGATAGTTATGATTAGAGCCCGGATATACATGCATTTAAAAAGTGTCAAATATGATGCAAATATGTAAAAAAAAAATAGCTAAATATGCAATTATATGCATTATGTTACATTTTATAAAATGTGTTTTTTAAAAAAAAAAAAACCACACCAAATAAAATTCTAAATATTTTATCAAAAAAAAATTATAATATCCACTGCTTTACTTTTAAAATCATTTAAATCAATTTAAAACTTTTAGGAAACTTAAAAACGAAAATACAAATAAAATAAAAAAACTAAAAATAAATATTTTAAATCATTTGAAGTTACCTATTTTCAAATAACTAATAGAAAACTTAAAAAAAATACAAATCTTTTAAAATAATAATTTTGAAACTTAATACCTATCATATCTATTCGTGCTCTATGTATCAAGGCCGTAACTGGAAAAAAATTTCGGGGGAGGGGGGTCTAACATTATTATTTAATACAATTTATAGTTAATTAACTATATTCATCGCTAAAATGTTTCTACTTTTGAAATTTTCGGGGGTAGGGGGGTCCGGATCCCTGGACCCCCCCCCCAGTTACGGCCTTGCTATGTATTGTATATGTGTGCTCTATGCTCTTGTATTCGAAGTGATTACAAAATTTACTGTAAATTAAAATAGTTAATTTAATAAAAACTCATTAAATACTTATGTATGTTATATTCATTTATAAACAAATATGCAATAACCCTCGAAATATGCAAAATATGCAATATAAAATGTAGTGTTTAAATTCGGTGTGATATGAATTGTGAACATTTTAAACCTCCAAAGACGTGAA